GAGGGTTTGGAAGAAGGAGAGAGGAGAAAAAGGCAGGGATGGTGTAATTATATTATAATATTAAATAAAAGGAATAACTAAAAAATACAAAATAAACAAATTAGAATGAAGAACAAATACTTTTCATGAGGCCTCCATGCCCAGCAGTCCCAGTGCAGAGTCAGACAAATGACAGAGCCTGAAGATGAGCTTTCTATTTCTGCTTGGCTGGCTGGCAGTGAGCCCTGGGATCTGCCTGTCTCTGAGATTACAGATACTCATGGCCATACCCAGCTTTTACTTACGTACTGGGGATTTTATCCTTCAGTTTTTAAATTTATATCTTAAATTTGATGAAAGTTGGTTTAATAGTGCATTAAGTTAATTCATTTCTAATATAAGCCATGCCTCATATTCCTAACAAAGCCACAACTTGATGACAATGAGAAACTAACTGACCCCACTTGGATATTGCAGACTCAGACAGCTACACACACGATGCTGTTCAGCAGCTGTCCTTCTGGTCAGGCCATGTGAGCCTTGTAAAGAGAACTCTCCTGTCTGCACCTCTTTACTGAGTGTCTGGAGGCAACATGAAGGCTCAAGTAGATGCCACCCATATTGTGGGTTTGCCCTCACAGCTTAGGAGCCTGACTTTATAGTAAGCCTGCTCTTCATCCCCAGAGGATAATATTTCATCTCTCACGGCTGAGCTCTGCAAGCACAATCCAAGGAAATGGCCTTGCCAATAGGTGACAGGGACTGGCATTCTTGTTTCCAACAAAACACAAGGCTGGGGCCATCGTGGATGGTTCCCTGACCATGCTACCTCCTCAGTCCACATGTTCTTGCCCAAACATTTTACCAGAGAATATTGTGAAATGTCCCACCATGGTCAGGAAGTAACCTATGTCCATTTGTCACTCTCTCATCTGCCAGGCCCCACTAGGAATGCTGAGGTATGAGGTCATTACACCTGTGTGATCATTGTCAAGTGATGTTTACCTCTAGGAATCCATGCGGCCTCATGCTCTACTTTATCTGATGATAATGAGCCATGCCAGCTTTCCTTTGGTTGGCATTTAGGTGATTTACCTCCAAACTAGAACCTTTACTCCATTTTAATGTACTAGGTAGAGGATAGGTGTGTGCACCTGCCTCTCATGCTGTTTGTTCCAGGTGACGGACGGATGATTCCTCTCCATTGCCTTGCTGTTTGTTCTGTCTGTTGGCTAGCCACACCAACTCAAGCAGCATGGAAGGCTTTCTCTGCCTGGAACTCCCTTTGCAAACTTTGTAACATTTGTAAATGTTGTTAACCCTCAATGCATGCAGTGACCCTGCCCTGGCTGAGATCTGGCAGCTAGGCCATACAGCTAAAACAGCTGTAACTGCCTTCCAGCCCCTCACAGTGGGGAGGTGATCAGGTCCTACCCTAGATGTCCCTAAGTGGTCATTTCCTAATGGCCTGATGCCAGAGAGCAGCCTGACTCTGCCCAAGAAGTCAAAAGAAAATCCCACCAATCCTTGAGTTTGCCCTAAACATTGGGCCACATAATCCCTCCAATGACAGCCTACCCTGAAAAGCTGCCCCGCCCTCCGCAAGAAACCCTATATAAACCCTGAGTTCTGCCCAGCTCTCTGCTGCTGCTCACCATCAGAGGTGGCCACCCTCCTGGGGTTTTCCCTCCTAATAAATGTCTCCTGTGAGGTTTGTTGTGAGACCTTGTGGTATTCCTTGGCTCCTGACTGCCGGGAGACCTTTCAGAGCACAGTTGGAACACTTTTGCCAGAGCAGGGCTTTTACTGGGACAACCTACCCCATCTCCATTCCTTCAACACCCCACCCCTCCCAGAACAGAACAGTAACACTTTCACTGGGGAAACCAGCCCCAGAGGGAGCATAGTTTGTTATACACACACACACACACACACACACACACACACACACACACACATGCGCGCCTTGGGGAAACTTTCCCGGCAGCTGGAGCAGAACTATAAGGAAGCCTTTCCCATCAGACCTGCAACAGTTACACTATCCGTTCCCTTCTTATGGTTTTTCACCATATTTTAACTAGTCCATCTCGCCTCTTTGCCAAGGATGTGCTGCTTCTGTGGTCTCAAAGATTCTCCAGATGGTACCCTACAACCTTTAACATATCAGAGTTCATTAAAAGGTTCCACTGTTCCTTTATTCCTCTGTGGAACATGCAGTGATCTGAGGAGACTTGATTTTGATGCCTTTCCCAGGCAGAATGCTTCTGCTGTTTTGAGTTCTAATTGTTCCATTAATGGAGTGCCCCTTTCGGTCCTTGTCCACTTGGATGTATGCTCTAACTTCTCCTTTCTTTCCTTCTTGACTCTCCGACCTGCACCTTGAGGTTTCCTGTCAACTTGAGGCTGACTCAGTCTCTTTAAGCACGGGTCTGTATTTCTATGTCTGCATTTATTACTGCCTGTGTACCTTCGTTTAGCTTCAGTGTCTCCTCTGAGGCACTGCTGTCTCCTGGGACACTGAAGACTTAAAATGCCACTGGTCTCTAGCTTCCATGAAAATTCAAATGTTAGGGAGAGACCCACAGCCGAACATCAGACAGAGCTTGAGGGATCCTGTGGAAGATGGGGAGGAGAGATGGCAGGAGCCAGAGGAGTTAAGGACACCACAAGAAAACCCACAGACCCAATTAACTTGGGCTCACAGAGGCTCACAGAGGCTCACAGAGGCTCACAGAGACTCAACTGCCCACCAGAGAGCCTGCACGGGACTGCCTTACATCTTCTGCACATATGTTACAGCTGTGTGGCTTGGTTTTCTTGTGGGGCTCCTAATGGTGGGAGCAAGAACTGTCTCTGACTCGTTTGCTAGCTTATAGGACCCCTTTCCTCATACTGGGCTTAATCCGAGGAAAGATGCTTAGGAGGCTAGCCCTTTTCTGAAGAGAAATGGAGGAGGAGTAGATCTGGGAGAGAGGGGAGGTGGACGAGGGTAAGGTGGGGGGACTGGGAAGGGAGGAAGGAGAGGAAACTGTAGTCAGGATGTAAAATAATAAGATAATAATTATTGTTATTGTTGTTGTTATTGTTGTTGTTGAGATTAACCTTTAAAAAAACAGCCAGCGGTGGGTGCCTGCACGGCTCCTGACTATTGTCTGTCAGCTCTCTTCTTTCAGAATGGCTTCTTGCAGTTGGCTTTCTACTTTTCCCATGGTGGTTCAGTGTGGTTTTGTTTTAGTCCCTGGGGTACTGGAGATACAGCTGCATGTCCCTCGTCGATCCTGGAAGACTCTCCAATGCCTGTGTCCTTCTGTCTGGTTCTCGTGCTAGCTCTGTGTCTCTTGCCTGTGTTCTAATCACTCCATCTTGTTGTCCTGTTCACAACTCCAGACAGTTGCTTAACACACCTGCTGTCTGGTTTCAGTTCACCACTTTTCTATAATTGCATCAAATCCATTTTGAAATCTATCCTGTTAGTTATACGCATTTGATTGCTTGTTATAATTTGCCTTTTGAGAAACCTTCTTTTATAACTACCATCAAGATCTTTTTTGCCATGACCCTTCCTCCTAATTTTTTACTGTAATAAAATACATATGTCTTCGATTTTAGGTATGAACAGTTCTGTAGTGCTGATGTGCATTTAATTGCTGTGTTAATCGTTGCCAGTTGCCATGTTCGTGCATGGAGTGGGTCCCTGACTAGGGACAAGGGACTGAAGAAAGGACAGACCCACAGATACACATAAGCGTTCCTGTGGCTTGGGTTATCTGATGCAGCACCCTGGAAGCTCAGCGTGTCTAATTTATACAGTTCAACAGGGAGCTGAGGTTACTGTGTCCTGCTGAACAAGGAGGCTTAGCTAATCTTGGTAGGAGCACTATCCATAGGGAGCACTGCTGAACAAGGAGGCTTAGCTAATCTTGGTAGGAGCACTATCCATAGGGAGCACTGCTGAACAAGGAGGCTTAGCTAATCTTGGTAGGAGCACTATCCATAGGAGAGCAGTCTTCAGGCTGTAAATATCTAGAGGAGAAAGCTATGGTGAATATTTTCTACACACACTGTCAACATTTGTACTCAGACTCAAGGCAGGCTTTGCCCCTGACTTGGGCCTGAGGCATTGGGGGCCAGGCATGACTGTGCTAGTGGGGATAATACACATTCACTCTGGGCCTTAATTCCCTCCCCACCCCACCCCCCATAGCTATCATCCACTCAAACAACAAACTGAAACCCTAGTGTCCTGTGAGGTCAGAGCTAGAGACAGTCCACCTGTAACAAAATGCCTTCTAGTGTGCAACATATAAGCCACAGGACTTAATGAAGAGTCCTTGAGGCTGAGAAGTCCGAGGCACTACCAGATTCCATAACTGGTGAGGCCTGTCTTCTGACTCATAAGCTAGAGTCTTAGGGCTGTGTCCTCACATGGCAGAGGATGCATTTAGGTTTCTTTCATGGGGGCATTTATGTCATTCATGAGAGTTCTACTCTGTAACTGTACCTGCTTCCAAATACCCTACCTTTGACTTAAAGATTTAATTCATGGCAGGTAGTATTAGCCAAGTCTCCCAGGTAAGAAAGCCGGAACACAGAGGGGTAGGCTAAACCATCTCTTGATTGCATGGCTAGTAAATTTCAGAGTCAGGGCCAGAGCCTCCTGCCTGTCAGGAGACCCAAGCTCACACTTCCTAACTTGGCCATCACAGCCTTTCCAAACCATGATGGTCCCTGAGCCTCCTGGTTACTATTTCAAACTTGGCACTGTGCAGGAATGATGACCCACTCTCTCAAGGCCCCTGGCCAGTGGTATGGTACACAGCTCAGAGCCTGGAGCTGCATAAGAGGAGAGAACAGGACCACATGGTCCCATTGCAGGGGTCAGAGACTCTCAGCCAGCCTGAACTGCCTGCCTGGGCTGGATCACTAAGAGGGTGCTGGGGGAGGGGGCAGCTAAGATGCTACTGGGGTGACCACCTCCTGCAGTGCCTGGTACATCCTCTTCCTGGCTTTCTGCCTCACAGGTGAACAATAACGGGATCATCTCCTTCCTGAAGGAAGTTTCTCAGTTCACCCCTGTGGCCTTCCCCATCGCCAAAGACCGCTGTGTGGTAGCGGCCTTCTGGGCAGATGTGGACAACCGACGTGCAGGTGATGTCTACTACCGGGAGGCCACTGACCCAGCCACGCTGAATAGAGCCACGGAGGACATCAGACGGTACTTTCCTGAGCTCCCGGACTTCTCTGCTACCTGGGTTTTTGTGGCCACCTGGTACCGTGTCACCTTCTTTGGAGGCAGCAGCTCTTCCCCCGTGAGTCCAGGTGGCTGTGTGGCCTGAGAGGGAGGCTGTGTGGTTGGGACCCTACCAAGGCAGGCCAAGTACAAGTAGCCTATACCCAAGAACAACTCTGGGCTCAGGCTCATGTCACTTCTGAAATCACAGGGCCAGGGTGGAGGACAGAGCCTCACTCTCTCTGCCTCAGTTGAAGCAGGGAAGCCCAGCACAGCTGTTCTCCTGTAGGAGCTGCACAGGAAGCATGGTGCTGAGGGGTATCCTGCTGGAATGGCTTGGTGCTCTAGCAGTTCCAGTTTGGGGCAGGGTAGGGGATGGTCTGTTCTAGGTGGGGGAGGGGGGGTGTTATTAATTTTTTTATTAGTTAGTGGGAGGTTTTTTGGTTGGTTGGTTCTTGTAGGTTTGTTCTGTTCATATGTGTATGCGTGTGTGGTATGTCCTGGGTGTCCTGTTCTGTGCTGTCACCTCTTACGTCATCTAGTCAGGCTCTTAGGGCTAGTCTAGCCACCAACAAAACCCAAGCAATCCTCCTGCCCACACTCCCCATCTCACTGGAGTTACAGGCTTATGTGCAGCCATGTCCTAGTTTGTACTAGTGCCAAATAATCTAATTCATGCCCTCACACTTGGATAGGAAGCACTGGCACAGCTGAACCACCAGCCCAACTTTTGTTGTTTGTTGTTGTTTTGTTGTTATTGTTTTGTTTTTGTTTTTTGTTTTGTTTTTGAGTAGGGTATCATGTAATCCAGGCTAGCTTCAAACTCACTATGAAGCTATGGATGGCCTTCAATTCCTGGTCCTCTCAGCTCAGCCTCCAGGATGCTGGATCCACAGCTATGTGCCTCCGTACCTGGCTGTTGTTTCACTGCTCTCAGATGGAGTGGCTGAGCCCTCTGTGTCTTTGGTGGGTGTGGTTGGCTGATGCTGCCCGCCAGACAGGTCTTTCCCAGCACACTATGGATAGGCCTATTCTGAGAGCGAAGCCACACAGAGAGGTCCTGGAATGCACGCGGTCTTTCCAAGATGTTTATTCACACAATAAGGCCTTTTATGAGGGTACCTACTGGGTGCCAGTCAGTGTCCCAAGTACCGGATGACAACCCTGAACAGAACCAACAAGAGAAGCCCACACTCTGGGGTTTATACAAGCTCCTAACAAAGGCAGGAGGCAGAAGGACATACTCAGAAGTGTAGTCTAGCCAGGCAGCACCTGTTGGAGCGACTCAGCACCAGGTGGATGAAGACACCGTGTATCTCCTCACTCCACAGCCCCACCACTGGCCTCTGCTGACCATCAGCCTTTCCGGCCACTGACACAAAGCATTTCTCTGTTTATTGTCTCTCCTGCCAAATTTTATATAAGAAGGATTCCCGTTCAGCTTTTCATTGTTTCCAATCAATGAGACAAGCCTGGACTCCGACATAGGCTCACGTACTACCAGTGCTTGATAGCATGGCTTCTTGAGATCCTGCCGTGACACATACATCCCCAGAGCAGTTCACTGTCCTCTCAGGGTATCCCATAGGTGTCTACTTGGAGGTGCCTGTTCCCTGCACCCCAGATAAGTACACTGTCATCTTCCTTCTTTGCTATCCCTGCAGGCAAAACAAGGTATGCTCATTTCTCATTTTATACTCAGATATCTTCGGCTTCTACAGATGCTGGACTTTTTTCTAATATTGTTCCTACCACACTATATGGTAATGTTCTTATCCATATCTTATGTCAATTTTTCTTAGTGCTTTTGGTCCTTTTCTTATTGTTCCCAGTTCTTCTGGATATACAGGATATCAGCGGTCTTGTCTGCCATGTGTTATACATACATTTTTTTTTTTTGCTACTGTCTGCCATTCATTTTGATATTGCAGCACTTTTCTTCCTTGGAGCCCCCTGGCTTTTTTGGTCTATAAATGTATTGATCTCTTTTTTGGTCTTTGTGGTTAATACACAGTAGAAATCCTTCTTGGAGAGGCAATGTGTATTGCCCACTGTTTTCTTCTAGGATTTCCATGGTTTTTGTTTTAAAACCACACCGGGTTTGGGATTTGCTTTCATGTGTGGTGTGAAGTGAGACATGATGCTCTCCTTCAGTTTCCCATTTGTCCCAAGGTCATTTCTTCACCCCAATCTGAAACACTCTTTCAGAGTACACTTCTCAGGGATGTGTCCATGGAGTCAAAGGGCAGAAAAACCATGAAACCTAATGTTAAAAGCTGCTTTTCTCCTTGTTTTTGTTTGTTTCCAGACTTTGCAGGTTTGGCTAGCCCACTAGGCATCTGTACCCCAGCCTCTGTAGAAGCCCCTTGAGGCTGGGGACAGTGTCTGCTCCAGGTGTTCTGCCCCTGGCTCTTTACAGTAGGGTCCATGTGCACTAGGCTGTAGAGATAAACAAAACCATCATAGTCCTGCCTTGCGTGGCTGTCCATTTGGGGGACAAGGGGTCTATGATACAAGGCAGGGAGTGAAGCCAATCACAGCTAGCTCTGTGTCTTGACAGGTGAACACATTCCAAACGGTGCTCATCACCGACGGCCGGTTCTCCTTCACCATCTTCAACTATGAGTCCATCTTGTGGACCACAGGCACACACGCCAGCAGCGGGGGCGATGCTGATGGCTTGGGAGGCATTGCAGCCCAGGTAAGCCAGGATAGAATTGGTGCCCAGTGTTCAGGGAACCCTGCCCCTCCTGCCAAGGTGACATGAGCAGGAGAAGTAGGCAGACCTTCACCATAGCAGACACCTGCTCCCTCCCAGACCTATGCAGAGATCAGTGTGTGGCAGCCACAGTGTCTGTGTCCCTCAGGCCTCTCAGTGCCTACAACCACAAAACAGACTCTGCTGCCTTTGACCCTACCTCTCCCATAAAGGTCTCAGTCCCAGATGTGCCTATCCCCTATACTGTGTACTTCCATTTGCCTCCTGGACTCAACTTGGGGTACCACTTCTCCTGAGCCCTCAATGAGGCCCAGATGCTAAGTGGTGAGTGCTGGAAACTAGGGAGGCCCTCAAGTACCATACTTGACCGAGGGGCTGCTAAAGTCAGCAGACCCAACATCTGTAGCGTCATCTGCTTACAAGGCCATCTCTCCACCATCTTTGACTTGGCCATCCCGAGAGAGGACTCGGTGACTGTAAGGAGACCTGCCTCCCTCTCTACCCCACCCCCAGGCAGGTTTCAACGCAGGTGATGGGCACCGCTACTTCAACATCCCCGGGTCGCGCACAGCAGACATGGCTGAAGTGGAGACCACCACCAACGTGGGCGTGCCCGGGCGCTGGGCGTTTAGAATCGATGATGCCCAGGTGCGCGTGGGGGGCTGCGGCCATACAAGTAAGAGGCTCAGGGAGGGGAGGGTTGAGGAATCCTGTGGCAGTAGGGGTGGAGCAGAGGGGCTAGAGTCTATCCCCCTCCTGAGTAAATCCCACCTACCCCATCCCACAGCCCAGCCCAGCCCATGCCTCAGGTGACCTGGGTCTTCTGGGGAGAGGAACAGAGCAGGGTTGCCACATCCCACCCCTGCCTCCATCTGGGGTGGGTGTGGGGGGACAGTGACATCCATAGGCCTGATGTTGGTGACAAGCCAGAGATTTTATGGTCCTGCTGGTCTAGTAGCACAAGCAGGCAGATAACCCCAGTAGCCCAGACTAGTCATGTGCCCACTCAGGAGCCCCAGCTCCACTGCCATGTCTCCTCCAGAAGGTACCACACCCTGCCCACAATGCAGAGGTGTCAAGGCACTGGCTAGCTGACCTGCTAATTAGGCGATACCCTCATCACAAACCCTCCTAAACCTGGGTTGAAGACAGGCTGCTGCTGGAACCCATCCCACTAACTTGCTCGTGTGAATGAGGCCACAGAACAGGGTGCCTTTCCTCAGCACCGAGTCCTCTAAAGAGAACTCAGCTGGGAGACCACACAGAGCCACTGAGAGTCAGGGAGACCATCTGGTGAAGGGAGATGAGGGCGTGCAGTACTGGGAAGGGAGAAGCTGGAACACACCTAGCATGCTGGGGACTGAGATCCACCTGACTGTACATAGCAGGCCAGCCTGGGAAGCCGAAGTGGAACTCAATGCCATCCCAGCCCCAGAGAAACAATTGGAACATTTAAGAGGGCAGAATCCCAGGGCAGCCCCAGCCCCACCCCTGGCCAGCAGTCAGCTCTGACACCGGGAATCTGGACCATAGCATCTGAAGTGGTCCTGTGGGTGCTGCTTGTGGTGGGGGCTGGGAGGTCCCTTGTCCCTTGTGTTAGGCTTTGATGAGAATCAAGGTACATGTGTGAGCAAGCCATGCTTTTCAAGCTAGTGCAGCTCAGGTGGAAGGGGACTCTCAGAAGAGGATCCCTTTGAGGGACCATCCCCTTTTCCCAGGTCTCTGAGATAGGAAGGCACAGGAAACAACTGCAGGGATGCCTTGGTGCCTGTGGTCCCTCTAGGAGAAAGGGACACAGCTAAACTGCAAGCCTGGGGCAGTTGTGGGACATTCTATAGACTCGAGCTTGCTCGAGAAGGGAGGGTGGGTGGTGCCTGAGAAGTGGTCAGTGCCTTGTGTCTGGAAGTGTAACTCCTAAGCAATCATGGCTCCTCTTGCAGCCATGGCTGCAACAGAGCAGCCAGATTTCAAGTAGAACGGGTGAGCACAGTACTGTAAAGGATGCCAGCTGACAGAATGGCAAGCTCCCTGTCCAGCAAGCAACCATAGTCTAAATGGTGTGCTGGATCCCTGGGCCTCTCTGGAGTCTCCCTGGAGTCCTACTAAGAGCAGGCAATTGGAGTCCTTGAGACTTTCTGACCACCTGCCAATTTGTGAGTAACCTCTTATTTCAGGAGCCCAGTCTGACCTCCTAGAACTGGGTTTGGGGGTTGCTGAGATCTCTGGGGAACCCAGGGAGCCATGATAACCACTGGCTGTGATGACCAAGTGCCAGCTTAGGAAACCAGGAGGGTGGCTGTGCAGCCCTGAGCTTCCAGAAGTGTCCATGGTAGAGGCGGAAAGGAATAAAGAGATAAAAGAAGGAGCTGTGGGTATAGGTGATTGTGCGGGTGTCTGCCGCCACAGGAAGCCAGAGTCAGAACTTAGGACACTAAAGATCAGCAAGAGATCCTGGAAAGAGTACCTGCCAGGCAAACTGGGTTCCAGCTCATGGACCCAGAACGTGAGCACAAAGATGCACCGTCACCAATGTCTGGGTCACTAAAATGACCTTTTGATGGAGAGAAGAGAGATGCGGCCATTGCAGGCGGCCCTCTTGACCACATCCTAGATGCAGTGGCATGAGGCTTGGGCTCCTTCCTGTGTCCACAGCGTCTGTGTGCCTGGTCCTGCGTCCATGTCTCAATGGTGGCAAGTGCATCGATGACTGTGTCACAGGCAATCCCTCCTACACCTGCTCCTGTCTCGCTGGCTTCACAGGCCGAAGATGCCACCTGGGTGAGTCATTGGTGGGGGCAAGGTGTCCATTGATGCCCTGTAACACATCATTCCCCTACCCACTGGTCACGTACCAGGTTCAGGGGAGATACTGCAGGTCCAGCAGTGGCTCTGAGGTCAAAGATCTCCGTCCGCACAATGTTAAAACCAAATGTTATGGCTATGTGGCAGTGAGTGTTGCTGCTGCTGCTCCTAGCCACTCTAAGTTAAGGCCTGCCTGGGACTAGGGCCTAGTCTGTCCTCCACCCCTACCCAAAGCAATTCCTTCAGTTTCCTCTACTGAAGCCTCAGCCTGCTCCATGTTTCAGATGTGAACGAGTGTGCTTCCCACCCCTGTCAGAATGGTGGGACCTGCACCCATGGTGTCAACAGCTTCAGCTGCCAGTGCCCAGCCGGCTTCCAGGGACCCACCTGTGAATCGGGTAAGATGCACCCGCCAGCCCTGCTCACTGCTGGAGAGAAGACACATAGCTGGGCAGCAGTGTAGGCAGCCCAGAGAGTTGTCATGAGGGAGTGCAGGAGCCTGATGTCAGAAGGATGACCTGTCTTATGGTATGGGCAGGACCAAACACAGGAGACTATAGCAGCCAGAGATTTCCTGGCCCAGGCACTAGGTCAGGGGTGAAGCTTTGGAATAGATGACAGCCCAGGTCCCGAATTGGGCCTGGGTCAGTCAGGAGTCTACCAGAAGTGAGAATGTTGAGGACTTCTGGGGTAAGATGGGACAGCTTTGAGGCAGGGAGGGTCAAGGTACATGCTCACAGAGCACAGCCTCCTACCGCACGCACCACTGGCCCCTGAACCAGCTGCTTCTATCACTGTTCTCTCACAGTTGTGGGTGCAGGGTGGGGTCCGTAGCCCTTTGTCTTCACAGCTCATCTGAAGCATTTGCCAATAGACTCGGCCTCCAGTTTCTAATCGCTCCACTGGGCCCTCCTCAGGGGCCTCTTCCTCACCCTCCACTGTCCCTGAAGGTCACTGTCCATGAAGGTCACTGTCCATGAAGGTAGACCCTTCTGTTCGAGCCCCTGTCCTCACTATAGGGTTACTCCAAATGCTAGGCCAAGACAGCCCTTTGATGCCAAACACCTGACAACCATTCCAGACCCAGTTTAGCCAAACAAGAACCCTCCAGCCCCACAGTGTCCTGAAGAGTAGAGCCATCGTTATAAAAAAAATCTACTAGAGTGTTGACACTGGGCTTCTTTAAACCATTTTTGCTTAAGAAATGTTTAAGCAATCCCACGTATATAGGTACATACAATCGCTATATAAATCATCATAATAAACCATGAAATTTATCTTAAAATTATCTGACATACATATAATTTTACCACTTATTAAAGATGAAAGCAGCCAGGAATGGTGGTGGTAAGTGCCTTTGAACCCAGCACTTGGGAAGCAGAGGCAAGTGGAGCTTTATAAGTTTGAACTCACTCTGGTCTACATAGTGAGTTTCAGACCAGCCAAGGCTACATAGTACAAATGAAAGAAAAATATAAGGTAAAAGCAAATCTGCATACTAATAAGATAAATGTGTTTGTTTATTTTTACATCATTAAATCTTGGCTTAATATTTGATAGTGCAGGACAGGGGATTTTCAATACTTTTCAGAGTTGATGAATATTTTGATTTTATAAGCACCAGTGATAAGAAGACTGCTTCACATGAATGCGTAGTACAAAATGGCAGAAGTATGTTTAGAAGAGAAAACATATGTAACAGTAAGAAAACTGTGGTTCATAACATAGCGTAGTCTGGAATCTGAGCTGAGGTGTCTTGGGCAGTGCCCACAGTCTTGGCTGACATGTTGGCATGAGCGGTACACTGTGTGCACACTGGGTTCAGAACCAAGGGGACAGCGAAGCCGGAAGTAGCACAATGCTCACAGCCAGTCACACCACACTCGTCGTGCATTTCACTTTGGATTTTGTTATCACGCATTCACAGGTATTTTACTGGTGCAGGTTTTTTCACGACACCCTATTGCAGTTATGCAACCACATGGCATTGGCAATTCACAGTTTCAGAAGCTATGGCTTAGACTGAGTACGCTCAAAGAGCATCCAGATCAAAACTTCAGTCTAGAAAAACAATTCTATCAGGATTCACAGTCACAAAAAGCGAAGTGTTCCATTTTAGTGCATGTGCGTGCGTGCGCGCGCGCGCGCGCACACACACACACACACACACACACACACGTTTGTGCTTGAGGAAATGTAGTTGAATGACAATAAGAGGTTTAAATAAGAGGTTTATACAAGGGCTGGAGAGATGGCTCAGTGGTTAAGAGAACTGACTGTTCTTCCAGAGAACTGGGGTTCAATTCCCAGCACCCACATGGCAGCTCTTAACTGTCTGAGATCTGGCAACCTCACACAGACAAAAACACCAATGGACATAAAATAAAATAAGGGATTTGTCCACACAGAGGAGGAACAAGTTTACGAAAGAAATGGAAAGAAAGTATGATTTTAAGTGTACATAAAGTGGGATTTCCACCTGTTGTGAGGGGCTTGCCATGAACCCTCAGCTATCCAGAATGGACAGGAGCACCCAGTTCCAGCCCAAACCAGAGCCTGGATGGTTGGAACACATTCAGGTCAAGAGAGCTTTTCCTCAGGCAGATGCCAGCCCCCCCTTACCCTCACTGCATCAGCAGAACCAGGTGTGGGAGCTACTGTGGAGACCCAGATGACCTACTGCTCTGTCCGTCAAAGCCTGGGGAGACCCTCAGGGTTGCTACCATGCTGGCCACAGGGGACAGGAGCAGAGCTGGGCAGCAGCCACTCCTTAGCCACTGAGACAGAGTACGAGCCCCAGGTTCCAGAAGCTGTCTTTAGAAGTATGGCAGAAGCTGGCTCCATTCTCCCTGACACCCTATCCAGCACACATGTCCTTCCTCCATGGCAGGTTTGCTGAACTAGAACTGATTCATACAGAGTTCTGGGTACCCTTGGGACTGTCCTATCCAGCTTGCTCCTAGCTTGTCACCTTCCAGAGACAACCAGGACCCCTCTCATTGAGCCTAGATCTGTAAAGAGTGAGGCTCAGTGCATATCTTCAGGGACTTCTGTCCATCAGCCCACTGTGGCCAGAACTCCAATATTCAATATTGGGTATTATATTATCCAATATAAGAGGAGTCTACTCTTCCTTGCTTGTAGCCCAGTCTCCGTGTGACAACAAAGTGTGTCAAAATGGTGGACAGTGCCAGGCAGAGAGCAGCTCTGCAGTATGTGTGTGTCAGCCTGGATACACTGGGGCCACCTGTGAGACAGGTGAGTGACCTATACATGGGGGAGGGGGTCCCACGGGTGGCAGGCAGTGAGGAGAGGGCTCCCATATGGCCCGGTTCAGGGTGGTCACAGTCTGGCTTAAGCCAACCCCTCACCTTTACTGTCCCTAGATGTGGATGAATGCAGCTCTGAGCCATGCCTGAATGGGGGATCATGTGTTGATCTTGTTGGGAACTACAGCTGTCTCTGTGTGGAGCCCTTCGAGGGACATCAGTGTGAGACAGGTAGCTGCCCCCACAGTCCACTGTGACTGTGACCTGTGAAGTGGCTATCACTTTACCCCCGCCCCTTCCTCCCCCTCTTCTCAACCTTCTGACCTCCCAGCCTTTCCAGAGCCACCAACTGGGGAGAACAGGAGCCAACTCCACAATACACTGTATGAGGCTGGGCTGGCCTTCTCTTTTCTGGGTATTGGTCTTCATCTATAACTATGAGCAACAGGTGACAACATTCCCAAGGCCCTTTTCTCAACTCAGAGGATTCGAGGCTTTTTAGTACCTTCCCTTTCCTGGCACACAGAGAAAGAGCTATGGAGAGCCGAGAGAACCTGGCCTTTACCACATGGGACCAAAAATATTCTTTTCTACACTATCTTATATCTTAAATGCTGGCTGTGTTTTGGTAGATCAATGACAAAACCAACCAGAGATTGCAAAGCATGGTATAGACGCTCTGCAGTGTCGGCATCCTAAGGCCTGGCCAGCTTTGTCTACAACTGTGGACATGGTTGAAACTGAGCAGGTAAATGGGGCTCACAGTTTACCCACAAAGAAGACCCAGATGATGGACAGGACACTGTCAGACGCCACAGCAAGAGACCAGGACAGGTCCCGGTGAATGCCTGAGAGCAGAGAGTGGGTGTGGCACCCTCACTTCTTGGCTGTATTCAGGCCCCACTCTGTTTCAATGACTGCCTTGCCTGAGTAGTTATTGGAACATCAATGTGTCTCACTAAATTTGTATCAGGAAACAGATAAGTGGTTTCAAAAGAGTTTTGTAGAGAAATCATGTCTTGTGCCAAATAATAATACAAGTGGAAATGGACAATAAAAACAACAGAGCAGATCAGGTATGGTTGCATGCCTGTGGTCCCAGCTTCTTCGTAGACTGAGGCTGGAGGATTATTTGAAATCAAGAGTTAAAATGCCAGCTAGGGCAACATAATGAGACTTCATCTTTAAAGGGGGAGGGGAGATAAAAAGAACAGAATGGACAGTTCTACCTAGAAGGTCTAAGCTCACTAAACTTACACGTATAAACAATGAATCTAATCACAAGAAGTTGGCCAGAGTTAGATATTTTGAAAAACAGATTATCTAATCTGCTGCTAGTTGGCTGTCCTGAAAGCTCCCTTTTCATAAACCACAGTTAGAAACCCAGACAAAATCTACAAAATTCCTATCTTCAGCCATTAGGCTCTTAGCACAGAGCCATCAACTTGAGAGAAGGGGGTCCAGGACAAGCCCTGTCCTTGCTCCCCACATCCTGCTTCAGATACCCCGGTACACTATGTAGGTCCAGAGTGTCCAGTGCTCTGAACTGAAAAGTCCAACTCAACAGCAACTAAGAGGGGGAGGTGGGAGACAGTGCACTGGAGTTACTGGTGGAGGGAAGGAGCCAGGCAGCAGGAGGCCTCTCTGCCTTGGCCTGGCAGATCTCAGTCAGAGGACTGATTGGGCTGGAAAAGAATCATTGGAAATCAGAAATCCCAGCAGCTCCTGGGGCTCAAACAGGAGGACTGGGGGTAAAGCCAAGGAGCTGTGGGGAGATAATAATTTTTAAAAAATAATTAAAATATAACCTACAGACAGATGAAAGAATTGTTATATACAAATACTTATTTACTATAAATAGGCTGCATATTCCCAAGACTTTTAAGGAAAAAACATGAGGAGAGGAAGATATTTTTAAAATTCATAACAGTGAAAACTGTGACTATTTAAAATATAGTGGGTAGTAGTAACAGCTGGTAAAACATTGAAGAAAAAAAAATCCAATGAGCTGGAAGAGAAACAGCACGCAGCACAGAGAGTAAGACTGGAAGAAGTAATTGAGCCCCATGGGCTGTAAAATAACAATGAACATCTGGCACGTGGCCCTGAAGTTGGGGAAGGAAGGCAGCAGTGGGGGAGAGAGTTAGACAAACAGAAGGGATAGCCACACAGTTCCCAAATGTAATGAAAACTCACCCAACGTTTTCAAGAAATTCATGAAGAAAACCAGAGTCACACAATGACCACTCCTCTGGATATCAGAGATAAAGAATTCATCTACAAAGCATCCGGTGGAGGGGGGAGTGTAAGGGGAGCTGAAGAGAAGACTCAGGGTCTGGGAGATCAAGCTCCTGCTGCTCCTCTAGAGGACCTGAGTCCTATTCACAAAACCCAAATAACGGGGCTCTCAGCCAGCTGTGTCCACAGCCCTAGGGGGTCTGGCACCTGTAAAATGTGGCGTACACACACTCATAAATAAAAATAAGCCATGTTTTCAAGCTCTAAGCCAGAAGGAGAAAGGAGCAGGAACACTTCACATCCAGAGAAGTAAGAGTGGCAGTCAGTGCTCACCAGGAACTACGTAAGCCCAGAGTACTGAGAATGCAAAGTCATCAGTGTAGGGGTACAGACCACACAGAACTGTAAAAGTCACTTTTATTAACCTGATGTAATTGACATCTCGGAGGCTTGCTGCTGAGTAAGCTCACCCCCCCACCCCCTCCCCCCAGTTCTTTCTGAACTCTACCTGGCTGCTTCAACTCAGACTGATTCAATCTGGTTTCTCTCAGCTTCTCTCTGAATTGCTCTGCTTGGCCTCAAACTAACTCTGACAATTTGCTCTAATCTTCTGGCTCTTTCTGCTGACCTGCACTGAATTCCATGAATTCATGAATGAGCTCAGCTCCACAGCCCTGGACTCACAGCACTGACTCCCAACTGACTCTTCTCTCTCCCTGAGCTGCTCTTAAATAGCTTCTCTATCCTGTGCTGTTCTCGTGAGCGTTGGGCATATCTTATCTCTGACTCATCCTGTCAAATCTTTCTCTGATTCGTCACTTTGTTTGCCCCTCAATTAGACCTCACTTTCAAACACTGCTGCTTCCTTCTACAAACTAATTTTACCTTAAAGATGTATACTAAGGGCATTTCTGTATTCCAGCCAGAGGAATTTGCCAGAGCAGCCATGTTGCTGGGTTAAAATTCCTCTACAAGAACTGTATTCCAGAATCCAGGTACAGAAAAGACTGCTTGTATAGCACTCAGCAGTTTTCTCACAAAACATGTGAAAGGAACAAGGCAGTGGTGGCAGAGGCAGGCAGGTCTCCGGAATGGCGGCCAGCCTGGTCTACAGAGTACATTCCAGGACAGCCAGGGCTATATAGGGAGACACTGTCTCAGAAAGAGGGGGGGGGAAGGAAAGAAAGAAAGAAAAGAAGGAAGGAAGGAAGGAAGGAAGGAAGGAAGGAAGGAAGGAAGAAAGAAAGAAAGAAAGAAGGAAAGAAAAGTGTTGAAATTCTTTACATAGAGCAAATGGTCCAAGACAAAAATAAGACGATCTATATGTAAGACCAAAATGGGAGAAATGTCCAATGTATGGGTAAACTTCTAGATCTCCTTTAGAATGAAGCAATAGCATAGGGCTTATACCATCTGGGGAAATGTATGACACTAGTGTATATAAACTTTTTGTGAGATATCACTACAAACTTAGTTCAGTAGCACAAAAATACCTAGTATGGACACAGGGCAGCAACAAACTCACTGTTTTGGCATGAATAAAAAAAAGTTCTGTTATCCATTAAATAATGGGTAACATTTCAGACATTTATAATCTGACCCTGAAATGCTAATCCTAGTATTAGCCCTAAACAAACTTTTAAGTTTATACAAAAACTCCCTTTCATTAATAATCTCCAAAAACCTGTGGATGGATCAGCAAGCTGGTGCTTCCATACAGTGGCATACCATTCAGTCTCAAACGGGACTAGAGACTGACGCACACGCACGTGCGCGCACATACACACACACACACACACACACACGCACGCACACACACGTGCTGTATGGCTCCATTCATATGATACTGTTGCAAAGTGGAACTACAACCTTGAACCGGTTGGTAGTTAGTTACCAGAGGCTCATGAGACTGAAGTCATAGAGTGCAGACGTCCTCAGAGGTGACAGACGTTCTATGCTATGATTCTGGTTGGGATTCCACAAGTCTATGCACGTGTTAAGTTGCTTGTAAGTATATACCAAGTGAAAGTTGACTTTCCTGTATAATGATTCACAAAAAAAAGATTGACGTACATGGGAAAATTAATACCCTAAAAAAAAGCAGTATTAGGGCTGACAGGAGAAGGCTGAGCAGCGATACTGACGAGACAAAGTGCTCAGAGTAGGAAGTACTAGTGGGGAGGAAGGGGAACAGTTTACAATGGTGACGAGGTCGATTTCACAGGAAGACAAAGCTAAACTTACCATCGCCTGTGGACATCCACAAATGTATCCATAAAAACATGAGCTAAAAGCTGATAGATTGCAAAACAAACAAGCAGGCCCATAATCTGGGGGAGATTCCAGTAATTCAGAGAGCACGTAGACAGAACCGGTTAAAGCTGGAAGACTTGCACCTGGCCTAGTGGACATCCAAGGAGCATTCACCTCTCTTTCCCCGAGTATTCATGAAAGTGTCATTATGACTGGTCATGTTGTGGGTCATAAAATAAGAACTGGTGACTTAAATTAACCACAACAGTTAAATTAGTAATCATTGGGAAATTTTAACTATTTAGCCAACAGGAATGCTTGATCAGTAAAAGTATGGAAGTTCTTGTTGTTCTTCTAGTGCTGATTTTTTTTAAGGATTTATTTATTTTATGTATGTAAGTACACTGTCACTCTCTTCAGACACACCAGAAGAGAGCATCAGATCCCATTACAGACAGTTATGAGCCACCATGTGGTTGCTGGGAATTGAACTCAGGACCTCTGGAAGAGCAGTCAGTGCTCTTAACCACTGAGCCATCTCTCCAGCCCCAGTGCTGATTTTTGCATACCCAAAAAGGAGCCCAGGCCAAACTGGCTCCCAGAAGACTTGATTCTGACTTGAATCCCTCTTGCCTATGGGAACTCACACGGGGGCCGGCTTCTCTGTGTTCACCAGCCACATCTGCTCTTGGCCCAACATTTTCCTCTCAAGTGGCTACCAACCACTGTCTTTCTTGCAGGAAGCTCCCTGGTGCCTTCGCCCTGCCTCTCCAACCCCTGCCAGAACGGGGGCACCTGTGTGGATGCTGATGAGGGATACGTGTGCGAATGCCCTGAAGGTTTCATGGGCTTGGACTGCAGAGAAAGTATGTTGGGGCTCCTGGGGCTGTGCCCAGGGCTGGAGCAGGAGACTGGAGCCTGCCTGTGGCAACAGAGTTGGGAAGGGTCCTCTCTTGGTTATATGTGCTGGAAACTCCAAGAGGGAAAAAGATGCCTCTGTGTGTGTGTGTGTGTGTGTGTGTCTGTGTGTCTGTGTGTGTGTTCAGTAGTTTTGTGGGAGGGTGGCCAGGATTGGCCAGGGCTAGGAAAAAGGGGCCGCACTCTTTCACCCATGGATGCTTCTCTATTCCCACACAAGAGTCCCCTCACCCCCAAACAGGGACCCTCAATGAGTGCGAGTGCCGGAACGGAGGCAGATGCCTGGGTCCCAACACCACACTCTGCCAGTGTCCTCCAGGCTTCTTTGGGCTCTTCTGTGAATTTGGTAGGTTTCTTGACTGGTCCCTGGACAAAATTAGCATGGTCACTGGGTCTGGGGGGAGGGCACTTTCCTCAAGAAGACAAGGTCGCCGGGAAGATGAGTTGCACTAAAGGAACTTCTTCCTTCACAGAAGTCACAGCCACACCCTGCAACATGAACACGCAGTGTCCAGATGGAGGCTACTGCATGGAATATGGCGGAAGCTACCTGTGTGTCTGCCACACAGACCACAACATCAGCCACTGTGAGTGGCTAGGGACAGGCCACAAGGGATCCTGGACAGTGGTGTCTAGCAGGAGAAGGTGCAGGTCATGCCACAGAGCTAGGGTTAAGTCAAGAGCCTGCAGTTGCAGGAGGCTCTGACAACAGCTTCACTTCGGTTGTTACAGGGGTCTCCTTTACTCCCCAAGGGAAAACATTTTGACAAAGAGACACCTTTGAAATCTATCTTCCCTCAGGCCTTAATGCATACACAGTTATGTGTGCCCGATGCATTTACTACTGTACACCATTAGTATAAAGGTATTGGCCAGTTAAGTGATGTGTAATTATAAGGACGATTATCCCAGGGGTCAAAGTTACCTTGTTGAATCCGAAGGTTGAATGTTGCTAAAATCAAGAGTAGGAGAAACTCCAGGGGGTCTTACCTTAGGGCCAAGGTGAACAATCCAGATGCACACAGAGTGTATTTTAAGTGGCCTTGGTTTTAACCACAAAGGATGCCAAGGTGACCCTGACAAGGGCACGTGGTCCAGGACAGCCTATTCCCTCTTCCCCCAGCTCTGCCATCGCCCTGCGACTCAGACCCTTGCTTTAATGGAGGTTCCTGTGATGCCCACGAGGACTCCTACACGTGCGAGTGCCCTCGTGGATTCCATGGCAGGCACTGCGAGAAAGGTGACTAGAGAGAGGAGGGAAATGGAGCGCAGGATGGGGCAGGGTAGAGCGGAAGTGCAGCTGGGGGCGGGGCGGGGGCAGGGCGGGGCGTGCACCACCCCATCTCTACCGTCAGCACCACGGAGAGCTCCCAGCCTGCAGCTCTTTGTGAGCCTCCCTTAAGACTGCTCCACACTATGAAGCTATAGTTGCAGGAGCCTGACCATTTTTGACAGTTACTTTCGTCACTTGTCCTGGTCTGTAAGCCTCAACAGGCTTCATTTTTCCCTCGATATTTTTTTAATAGATTTTAGAATCATTATGTTGAACTTAAATTTTTTTCATTCTGATTTTTGTTAAATTTAGTTTAACATAGAGAATGCAAACATTTTACAACATCTAAACACTTAGAATTTAAGTATTCTTCCGTAACGTATTGCAGAGGTTGGCATCTCCACCAGTGCCACCCAGGACCTATCTCTTTCTTGCAGTAACACACAATAACACACACCTCAAACCAGACATCTTACAAAAATCCTTGACTGAAGGCCTTTGCAACCTAGCTCAGGACTCTGGGCACCCCACAGCCTGGCTGGTCAGGAGAACCAGATTAGATTTATTTATGGGGAGCCTCCTCATACCACCTCTCCAGATATGTACCACATGCCCCAGAGCAGGCTTCTGACAGAGGTGTTTGAGACCTTCACAGCTGCCTTTGTCCCTGAAGCAACAGAGAGGGTCACGAAAGAGAAGGCCTTCTGCATGGTTATCTCTGAAGCACCATGCAGAGCCCTTCTTGAATCTGCTCTGAGGGACCCTGAGGAAGACCTATGCATTTGCCGAGGTGGCATAGGAATGGATGACAGACACTGGGCCCTGTAAGCTTGGCCTGGAGGTGGGTGTGGTCTCTGGGTAGGATATCCCATAGAACTGTGAATTCTGTGGCTGGAGGTCCAGAGCAGATTCTGGAAGGGCCCTGTTTGTGTGTCCTGTGATGTGGGAGAGAACTGGCAGGCTCGGAGCCTATAGCCTAAGTTCCACACACCCTTCTTTCAAGCCTGGCTGATTTAGCTCCAGCTGTGTTGGGCCTTGGGGCCCAGCTGAGAAGCAGGTCTGACTTCAGGTCCACCCAGTACCAAAGGACTGAAAAGGCAGAGCATGGTAACACAGATTCTGAACCATTTAGAGGCTGGCCCATGTTCACCACCTCTGTCTGTCTTTCCACACAGCCCGGCCACACCTGTGCAGTTCAGGGCCCTGCCGGAATGGGGGCACATGCAAGGAGACAGGCGATGAGTACCGATGCACCTGCCCTTATCGATTCACTGGGAGACACTGTGAGATTGGTGCGGCCCCAAGGCAGGGTTGGGTGGTGATTGACATGCTGTGAGATAGGGCTAAGGCACCAGAATCCAGCTGCACAAGCCCTGACCACCATGCACCTTCCTCTCGGGAACACCTTCATGGGGCTTGGAGAGGTTAAGACCTATGATACTTGACTCTGATGGGTGTCTTCTGCTTCCAGGAAAGCCAGACTCCTGTGCCTCTGGCCCCTGTCATAATGGTGGTACCTGTTTCCACTACATTGGCAAATACAAGTGTGACTGCCCTCCGGGCTTCTCTGGACGGCACTGTGAGATAGGTAAGCAGCTGGGGGCACTTTCCTCAGCACACAGGAAAACTGGCTCAGTGGGAAGGGCAGGGCTGGGAGGGATCGGAGGTGAGCTGAGTGCAGGAATACAGAGGACCTCACAGTGAAAGGGCCTTCTGTGTTCTTGCAGCCCCCTCACCCTGCTTCCGGAGCCCATGTATGAATGGAGGTACCTGTGAGGATCTAGGAACAGATTTCTCCTGCCACTGCCAACCAGGGTATACAGGACATCGATGTCAGGCAGGTGAGAGTTAGGTGGGTGGGCTGGGAGCATGGCATCTTTTCCCGATCCCCTAAGAGCTGGGCAGGGTAGGGAAGGTGTCTTAGATACTGTTCTGCTGTGACAAAGCACTGTGACCGAGGCAACTCATAGAAGAGTTTATTGAGGGCTTAGAGTTCAGGGGGTGGGTCTATGACTGTCATGGTGGGAAGCATGGCAGCAGGCAGGCATGGTCCTGGAGCAGTAGCTAAGAGCTTACATCCTGATATACAAGCATGAGTCAGAGAGTGCCAACTCTCTGGGAATGGAATAGGCTTTTGAAATCCCAAAGCCTGCCTCCAGTGATACACCTCCTCCAACAAAGCCACAGTTTCTAATTCTTGTCAAACAGCTCCACCAACTGGGGACCAAATATTCAAATATATGAGCCTATGAGGACCATTCTCATTCAGACCATCAAAGAGGGAAAGGAGGAAATTCATTTCTGAGGTACCAGCCCCCAGAAGCCAAACACTGTCTCCTGGAGTAGGTGGTAGGAAAGCCAGGCCTCACTGATCACGTGCAAGAATAGAGACTGGACCAGGTGGGAACCTTGGTGCTCACTCAGGACACACTGATGTTCTCTTGCAGAAGTGGACTGTGGTCACCCTGAGGAGGTGAAGCATGCCACCATGCGTTTCAATGGAACTCACGTGGGCTCAGTGGCCCTGTACACATGTGACCCCGGCTTCAGCCTGAGTACCCTCAGCCATATGCATGTCTGTCAGCCACAAGGTGTCTGGAGCCAGCCTCCCCAGTGCATTGGTGATTCTGTGGGCCCTCAGGGCAGGGTGGGTGGGCAGGGCCTCTTCTCACAACCATATGAAGTTGTACAGAGCCTGAGCACAAGCCCCTCCCCCATCTCCACTCTGTGAATGGAAGCTATCCGTCCTGTGGTGACAGAGTGGTTGCTGTCAGTTATGCGGGGCTTTCTTGTCCTCAGAGCAACCAAGAGCAGGTCAAACAGCTACAAACCCATACTGTAGATAAAGCAGCTAAGGCCAAGACTCTATCCAAGGTCAGAGTTCTAAGAAAGCAGAAATCAGTTCAGTGGCCCACCCAAACCTGTGGAATCAAGTTACATTTAAACAAAATCCTAGCTACCACATATGCACTGGAGAAGGGCTGTTCCAGATGAAATCATCTTCAGGGTTCCAGCCATGGCTCTGCCCTGGAGACAGAGTCATTCTGATAGAATCACTGGGTGTGATGCTCTCAGCATGGCTGCAAGTCATCAAGCACCAGTGTACCAAGCTGTGTGTTCAGCTGTCACCAGGAACTATGTGATCATAATACAGTTCTCATGAAGCAAAAGGAGGGACAGCACTTAGGACAATGACCATTTCCCAAATGCCTGGAGAAGTTCATCCCACTGTGTGGCCCTACTAAGATAAAGTTCTGAAGAGAAGTACCCGACCGCAGGCATCTACCCTCTGCTCCTGCCTTTCCTAGCCCAGGGTTCCTGCACAGTATTCAGAAGAGCGCCTCTCTCAGTTCTGCTTCTCAGCATGTTGTCAGGCATGGTGCCCTGAAGAGGAGGGCGTTCCAGTGAAGAAACTAGATCCCGAGAAGCACAGCCATCTCTAAAATCAGCGATGGACAACCACATAGCAGCTGCCCCTGGAGATGGAAATACAGAAGGTGAACAAACAGCACACAGAATATTCATCAGCTACACACCTTGTATATTGCACTAGATATAGTGACAGTACTCAAAAGTTAACACGGCATTGGCCATATACATCTGGATCAGTAAATCGTGCTGTAAAGGCAAGGATACAGATAAGACTTTAAACCATAACAACCGAAATAGCTGACATAATGTATAAGTGGGTGAAGACGAAGAAGAGGGCTAGACTGTGCACAAAAGAGTGTAGAGCCTGGGGGTGGGGGAGAGGGCAGCACCAAGCCTGAGACACCAGAACATCACGGGATAACAGAAGAACCTTGACCAGCAAGGGGAATGCCGCGGCAATGGAATCACATTGGCATCAGACTTCTTACCACAGACATCAGAGGGGAGATGCATTTAGGTGATGACAGGCACAGTCAACCTGGTAAACACCATGAGACCCAAAGAACCACGCCTGTTATCCTGCCAGAGCTGAGGAGCCAGAGTTTCAGGCATCCTTTCCTATATGAGAAAAGCTGCTTGTACTTTTATCTCAGAGCAGAGACCCACCATGAGCAGGGGGATAAGGCAGAGGAAACCAGCCATACTCGTGAGTCAGAGAAGCCAAGATCACAGTAAGTCCCCACGTACCCACCAATTCTCACCCACAGGAACCTGCTACATGCACAAGAAACCAGGGGCTAGCCTGAAAATTAGACATCCTGTTCTCTCACGAGGCTGAGATCCCATGTCCAGCAGGAGAGAGGCCTGCTCCAGCCCTCAAGAACTTAAAACTAATCACCAAATCCACCCCTGCCCCATCCCCAGCAACAGTACCTGGCTCAGTAACCTTGGAGACAGGCAGCTCAGCCAGGCTGCAGGGCAGGGAGCAGAGCTTGCTCATCCCAGGGAAGAAATGTTCTACTCTGTACTGTGTTTGCTTACACTATGCCCGAGGAACAAGAATTTACAACAGATAATCTAAAAATGAAACTATTAAAATAGGACTATCTATATCAGATGTCCCAGATATTGGAAATCACAAGCAAGGATTTTTAAAATGACACTATAAAAATATTTTTTAAAAAAGCTAAGAGAATGAAATAATAAAGAAATTTAAATGATTAAAGAGATTCTGAACTGAAAATGCAACATTTAGGTAACTATCAGGATAGGCTAGATTAAATTGGATTTTCAAATAGTCTCATTTGGAAATTCTTTCAATTCCAAACTAGATAGATTATAAAATTTGAGATTATAGGCTAATACTCCTCAGAATGTAGATTTAAAACTTTAAGGAACTATTACTGAATCAAAGCTGGCATTATGTAAAAGAATGTTTTCACAAGCAAGTGGGACTTATCACAGGAGCATAGGTTGACACAACATCTGAAGATTAATCTATATCCACAATACTAGGAAATGGGAGAAAACGTGATTTTCATTTGCCACAGAAAAAATCACTTGGCAGAACTTAAAACTACTATAAAATAACTCTTCATCAACTAAAAATAGAAGATATTTTTCCTCAATCAGATTAAGAGAATCTGTGAAAAGTCTCCAGCTAACAAACCCATACTGATGAAGACTGCCAGCCACTGGGAGAGGTCCCTTGGCTACTGCTTCCCCATGCTGTCCTAGACACTGCTAAGGTGAGGCCATGCAACAGAAGGCATAACCATCAGGAAGGAAGGGAGGAGCACAGATGTCAGCTGTGTGCACAAGAGATCCTGAGCATATCGTGTAAGAGAAACCAATGGCATAACCCATGGGTGAACGAGATTACAGGAGACGAGGCAATCTGAATACCAATTCAGACCCCACCATCTCACTGGGAACATCTGGAAAGGGCCATGGAATGGCGCTGTCCACAAAAGTATCAGATCCATAGCCTTTGTGTGTGCAAGAATAATTCTGTGTAAAAGCTAAAACTAAAAACTGCAAAGAACGCATGTGGGGAAATGCTCCCGGCAGATGGAACCACATGGGTATGCATTTGAAAAATAGGACATTTGTTTCCAGTCAGCACTCATGGTGACTGATTTCTAGTGGACCAGAGACTTAAATGTTATTTTTGTGGGGGAAATATAGGTGCCTATCTTTTTAACTCGAATACAGAAAGATCTACTTGACCACAAAAAATATTATCAAAGAAATAAATGGACAAATTTGGGTATATAAAAATTAGGAACTTAAAATTTAACCTTTGGAAAAGTTAAATAAAAGCTAGAACATGAGAGAATATATGAGTGTGAATATAAATAGATCAGTAAGGAGAGAGAGAGAGAGAGAGAGAGAGAGAGAGAGAGAGAGAGAGAGAGAGAGAG